TTTAACTCAAAATATTACAAGGAACTGAATGGTGTCATTGGTTTTCATTAAGTGAAGTTATTTCAGAAAATGATTAGTGCAAAAAAATAAAATTCCCATATATTTTTGTGGAAACATCAAATCTTTCATTTCAATCTTTCACACTGCATTTTGGTGAAGGGCATTCTTATCTAGTTTCTTTATTTGCAATAATATATGCACTTTGTTTGACCATTCTCTGTTCAAAGACAAAAGTATACGTCATGATTTCATTTCCGAGTCCTCAGAAGAGACAATCCAAAATGACTCGTCACACACAATGAAACTATTTTCCTATTAATCAGACTGGGCTGTTGTCAGTTCACATGTCATGGGTACCTGACTAGCGACCCCAGGATTCAGAATTTATGTTGTTTGAAGACCAAATTATATTTGCTTTCACCCTCTTTTTACTGTTACCTATTAACAGCAGTAAAACGCTGCCCCAGCACTGCATCTGTACAAAATGCCAAATGGCAGTTTTTACGTCATTCAATGTGAAAAAAAAATATTGCCAGAAAAATAGAGAAGCCAGTTCAATGAGTTTTTTCCTCTCTGCTTGCATTCTCCAATCAAAAGAGTACAAAGCGGACCAAGTCCTGTTTGTACCTCTCTATGTCCATTACTCGTGCTTCGTGCTTCAGTAATTTAAGACTGAGGACCACTTTTATGGTTTCATTTTGTGATTGTAATAAAGAGTAACACATCCCTTGACCAACAGAGGTTTATTTCGCTATTCACGACTCGTGTCTTCTTTGAAAATGTAAGCAGCCACATACTTGGTAAATACAAATTTATATAAAAATCAAAAAATAGGTCTAAATCATACGCAACACCAGCTCCAGTGTCAGAGGCGCCTACCACAATAAACTTGTTCTACCCCATTTAGCGCGCGCGCGCCTCAGGCCCCTTGCAGATAGGCAGCCCCTCCTACACGGCAGACAATCAAGGGCGCTTCAAGAAACGCTTCAAACGTATTTTAAACCCGCGAATTGTCAAGGAAGGCCAACAGAGCACCACTGCGGTTATTTCCACGGGGCGCGCCGTGGTGCACCACGGCCACGCCTCGGCCGTCTTGATGACGGCGACCTCCGGGTGGCGGCAGCAGTCTCTGCAGAAGGAGAATCTTCGGGACGGTCTTCTGGAGCCGCGGCTTCTTGTCTAGCTGCTCCTTCCTCCTCCTGAACGGTGGTAGGTTGGGGAGGGGGAGCAGGAGCGGTAGTGGGCGGCAGGGGCCTCCTCGGGCGTGGCATCTCCGGATATTGCTGCAATCGGTGGCAGGACGGTGCACGCACGCCCATCGAGGACCCGCTGCGCGAATTATTTAGTGCCGATTCACTAGGCTCCGTGATGGAGACTGCCGGCACGGCAGCAGCCACGATGCG